TTTTCTCGCCGCTCCCCTCCCCCCCCCGACGTCGCTCACCTCTTCGAAGATTTTATATGACCTCAATGCGCTGATGTTATTTTTGGTATTCCTCCTCCCCCTCCCAAGTGTACTAAGAAAAATTATTTTGGGCGAGAACGCTGTTGATATGCGCTTGCGAACCTGTCTGGCTTGTCCCACGAGTTGCATTTTTGATTTGTTTGTTTGTTTTGTGGTGCTTCCTGACATATGGCCTTGCAGAGCTCTTCTTTTATAATGGCATTATCCCAGCCATTCACCCTCCGGCTTCCTTATTCGCTTCAGCCCCACAAATTCTTTCCTCACGGCTGCATTTGAATTGCGTCCCCATCTCCGTCACAACTTGTACACACTCACCATCAACCCCCGTTCGTTTAGCGCATATGGCACGCGGAGGTTTGGGACGGCGCTACCGCACAATATATGGCCTATTGGGCCCATCACTGTTGACTATTCTCTAAAACCACAATTTGTTTGGTCGTACACCTTGATCCTCCGGCACACCTGTTTTCATTACTGTGTGTATGCTTGTGTGCTTATTTGCACCTGTGAACATTCTGATTCCAACGTCTATCCCTGGCTCGAGAGGTTGAACAACGTGCTCCTGCCACCTCACGTTTTATGAACTAACCTCCGACTTTCAACCACAAAGTGCGCTTAAAAATATTTTATTTAGTGAAGTATAGCTTTGTTTTGTCTTTTTTGGCTCGTAGGTTTTAGCCTACGTTAACCTCACCCGGGCAAGCCGAGAGACCGGATGGAAACATTGCTTCGCTGGAATCATTAGCACTTGCTCTCAGGCAAATATTCCCCCCCTTCTCTGATACAATAAGTTGCAGGGTCATTTCAGACCGCATGGGTAGATTCCTACTGAAGTTGACCCAACCTCGCAGTCTGTAAGGTTCGATGTCGGGCTTCAAAATCCCACTAATTATTTTATTTGGGTACCTCGACGCTGGTGAGATGCCCTTGACGATTTTACCCTCAACTAGACGTGGAATTTAGGCCGATGATTAAGTCACTATTTAAGAATTGTCTCAATTACCATTGAATTGTCATTTCGACCGCCGCGAACGTTGATCCCTGCCGTATATCTCACATAATGGTGGGCACCAGCGCAGCAAATTGCGCGCATCTAACTCACTTTTTCTACTCTCACTCTAGCCGGCTGCCATGTAATAGACAAATAAAACTGGAGGTGAAATCGGACGCAATGGCTGACAAAAATAAGTTTTCCGACTGAGTGGGGAGCCATGGAAACCACGTTCTGGAGGACACTCTCGCCTGAAAATCCGATACAACTGACTCGGTCGGTAAAACGGCTTGAAGTCACCTCTGCTGCGGCAAAGGCCTAGGCTCGATAATTACATTTTCCTAAGCCCACTTTAGGTTTAATCTGCAGCCGACTGCAAAACCGGCTATCTTAGAACCTGACGCTAAGTTTTTGTCTGAGCAGAAAAAACAGAAGGGGCGGGAGAGTAATACTCGAAATAGTTTTCATTCGTTTCGCAAGTAAGGTAAGACACTGACGGATGGAGGTTTTAACAAACCTTCATCAGGTCTTGGCATTTACGCAAATAGTAAGTTGACCAGAAAGTGTAATTCCTCCATAGGTGAAGGAGAGTAGCTGTGTCCCTCGCGAGGTTAGACGGTGGGGTTCTTGTGATGATATGATGGGACGGGCAATAGATAACGCGGACATAGACCGGGGTGTAGGGGACGGGGCAAACGACAATATGGTACGTATTTGTGATTGATCGGTATTCTTTCGATTATAGTGGCTGTGGAGCTTTTCGGGGTTCTGCACGTAGACAACTAGGCTCCTTGCTTCGGTTTTTATCAGAGCTGACGTCAGTAGAACGCGTTGTCCTGGTGATTTTCCATGGTACAAAAATGTCTGATAGATAATTATCAGATGGTGTGTCAAGACTGAGCTGATTATCTCCTGGAAGGTTTGGGTCCTACAAAGCTCCCAGGTAGTCAGACCGATATATCTTGTTTCGTTAGAAAGAAAAATGCTATTGACACGAGGTGACTGAAAGCGTCCGTTTTATTCTTCTGTGATCTAAAATAACTGCGGACTTGGGGACGTCATTTCAAAGTCAGCGCCTTGTCTCGATAGCTGTCCGTTAAGTTAGCATTGTCTATTTATGGAGTCATAGCAATAATTCCACAACACTACCCGTTCGTGCGCCACTTAATTATCACGCTTTTCAGGGTAGGGGGTCTTCATTTTAAGTCTTTTATACGAATCATGAAGCTCAAAGGTATCAAAAGGTCTGTGGAAATGGCTTTACTTTCACACACTGAATTCCTCCCATCTAGAAGAGATTTGATATCTAATTTCAATGTGAATTAATATGATAGCCTCCGTCCAATATATGATCGTTCTACGGAGCGATGGACGCGTTAATCGCCTAAATTCGCGTCTGATGGGATGCGTAAGCAATTGTGCGAGTGGTCCATGTTCACATAATATGACCAGACAGGCTAACCAACTCCTTTATCAAGATCTCTCCGATTTGCAGTGACAGATGCTCATACGCAGATTGAGCTCGCTTCTACAAAGCGCTTATGACGTATCTGATAGTCGCATTCTGCGGACCATCTGCGTTTTATGCGCAGATGGTATGATTTTTTGTTTCCGGTCCCAGATGTTGGCTGAGGCTACCTGTAGCTTAATAAGAAGCGGTAACCTTCATCTGTCTACATCACTCGCCGCTCTGCGACTGCCTTTCTGCCTATGATATACAAGACGCAGAAAGGCTGTTGGTGGAGGTCGAGACGGATTCCCAAGGCAAAAGGAAACAAGTGAGTTCCTTAGCGCGATTGTTAAGCACCCAGCTACCAATGCTGATATACCCGATCGCAACCGACATGATATTTGGCCAATGACGTAATGGTTAGGATATTCAACTTTTGTACAGCAGCTTGCGGATCCCAGTCTAAGATTTTGCAATATCTGTGGGTGGGTGTGGCAGTCTGATGATGACTAATAAAGCAGAACTGGGTGTCTCAGTCCCCATAGTCATTGTGTGTCCCGTCTTTCCGCCAATGCATATACGCTGGCAGATAGGCGTTCGCCGATCGGTTATAGGACTCGCTTTTCCCCTCAGTCATAAATCTCCCTTGTCTTTGTAGGTAATGTTATTCCGCCTATATCAATAGCCGGCTTGTGGCATGGCTCGAGAGAGCGTCCGAAAGACACAAAAAGGGACGAATGAGTCCTGTAACCGATCGGTGAGCGCCTATCTGCCAGTGTGTATATTTGTGACGCACGGCCAAAAATGCTGTTCTCTTCCTCACTCAATGTCCGCGTCCCCTAACGTCATGTTCCTTCGCAGGTGGCTATTTCTTGCCACTCGCTGACCTGAAGGTTATGTGACCGATGTTCAGTTGCACACGCATGCCCAACTAGTCACGATTTCTCAAGAGCCATTTGAACACGCCAAACCGCGGCCACGCAGCAGGGGGCCTCAATACTCGCCACCCCCTTTGGGCAATTACAACACCAATAGGTACCCATTTGGAGTCGACTGGCGCCGCGGTTAGAGCGTTGGACTTTTAGCTAACAGGATCCTGGGTTCCAACCTCGGGTGGGGCATCACTTAGGGTTGGATATGGCTGATTGATGATGGCCAATAAGCCAGCAATCGTCATTTCAGTCTCCCTTGTCTTTGTCGATAATTTCATTCTGCCTATGTATATATAGACAACAAATGGATAGCCATTACCAAACAATGTTACACAAAACAGACTTACTCAATAAATGTAATAAATCTCGAATCGGAAGTCTCACAACAACCGAAACATACGTGCCATCTATGGGAATGAAATGCAACCTTGCCGATTCAAAATGTCTAGAGTTTCTTGCGAAATTAGAATCCATAACATTAGCAGAAGATCTAACAGACGATGAACGGTTCACAGTCCGGACTATCAACAGATAAAAGAAGCCATGAAGGAGTCAGCCATTTTGGGCTTCCTAGCTGAAGTCACTATTTAAACATTAAGGAAAACGGCCCTAACACTAGTTAACTCTAAGTTGTGGGAACGCTATGTCGATGACACTGCACATCCTTATTAATTCAACCATGCAAAGAATCGCACTTACGCTATTAAAATACGTTGACAGTAAACTCCCATTTCTTGACGTTCTTATACAGCGGAAGACTGACGGGACATTGTAAATATCGGTTTATCGCAAAAAAGCACATGCGGATGTTACCCTACATTACGAGAGCAACCGACGACAGTTCGACCGTCGATTTTGACTATGTCCACTGCCAGCTTCAACGAGTTGAAGCAAAATGGTGACTCCTGCGAAATATACAGAGAGGCAGACGCACGGAGAATGTACCCCACACCGGGACCCGGTTGTAAAGATAGCGTCAAGAAGGCCGGAGATGAGGGAGGGCGCAGACGGCTGGCGCGACCAACACTCAACACGCGTACCAACAACACGTCACGCTAGGTAGGCTCCTGAAAGGGAGCTCCATATAGGCCACATTAAGAAGGAGCCATCGAGCCTGACTCTCAGACCGCAAACAGCCACTACACACAATAAGAAACACTGGACCGACTGCGGTGTCCGAGTTACCCCACCACCTGGTAACCCTCCAATCCACGGCCTTTAGCGCACCTTGATAGTTTAAAGCGTATCAGGTTCATTAAACTGAGGAAAGAAACGCACCCCAGGGTCGACCTCACTCTCTCCCCCACCGCCTAGCTGTCGGACGCCTGAGGTGAGATGGGCGAAACGCTGAAAGGGAAAACGAATCGGAGGTGAGCATGGT